CCGATATATAGCAGTTCTGTTGAATGCCCCAATACCAGATTTAGTGCACTTCAGCACTAGAGTCTTGCGGGAATGAAAGAATTTTCTATCTCCAAGTCTTACGGTTTAGGAGTTTTTCAGAGATCAAGGTCCAAAAAGGACCCTGAACGGCGTCCCAAGGTTTTTTAATATACTTCAAGTTGGAGAGTTTGGGTTTGTTTTATTTTAAACTAGACACCACCTAACTACATGGACTGACCTCGCCGATTTTTCAATTAAGTCTTTATTGGTTTTCCAGGCAACCAACAACCTCCAAAACCCTAAAAAGCCTTCCGAATTTTCTAAAACTCCTCAGTTTGAGAAAAACTAAGACCTAATTCAAAAATCGACGCCGATCAGTCCATGTAGTTTCTTTTCCTCTTTTAAACAAAAAAAGAATGAACTCTCTACGACAATCCGCTGTTAGAAATCTTGAGACGCACTTCAGGTGTAACTCTTATATAGAGAAAAAGGTGTATTAAACTCTGTATGAAATACTCGATTTTACGACTTGTTGGAAAATGTCTGTAACTTTTTGATGCAAGATTATACAGCGTTGTGCGAGATCTTATTTTGACCTGAAACGTTTGTTCTACAAAGCTGTGTGTTCAGAAAAATTCTAATTGCATAAGTATCCAGGAAAAAAACTATTATTTGAGGATCCGGTTTACCGACGCTCTTTGAAAACTTGCTCAAAATCCGCAAAAAACCAGTTTTGTAACCAAACGCAATACAAATTCTGAAAGTAGGCACTTTAGGCTATCTTTCCATGTGCATATCTCAAAACCGATTTTTTGACCAAAAATCACCATTTCTGAGGGGGGCGGGGGCTTAAACGGGAGAATCGACTGCGTTTCTAATTCTCTAGTGGCTGCTTAACAGAAGGACTACGTACTTATTTTCGATGAAGTATAGTTAAATTCATTAGAAGCCATATTTAAGACAAAAAGCAGAGTGTCGTCGGGTGACTTTCTATCAATAGAAGAAACGAGTTCAGTTATAGATATATCAGAAAACAATGCTGTACGGCGTGGCCAGCCTTCACAGAGTTCGAATTTTTGTTTTCAGTCGAACAAAGGTTAGAAATACAGCATCAGACGCAGTTTTTGCGCTGATTACGAATCTGAACTGAAGAACAAATTAAAGTTAAATTTTCAAAGTGATAATTTAACTTTAAAAATTTTTAAATTTTAAATTCAATTTCCTGATCTAGATATAGTCTTTTCAAAAATTCTGATAACTATATCATCGGATAGAGATTCGAATTCTCTACAAAAGGCCTCATCGATTTTCATGTTTGGATGCCAAAATCTTTTTTTGATTTTCTAAAAATAGTTTTGGCACTTTGTGAGCAATTTTCTGTAGTTTAGTCTGATTTTGAAACTTTTTTTTTGGCTGCATCGGATAGAGGGCAGCTCAAACTATCTATCTATGTGCAAATGAGAGCTTGGTAAGCAGTTCTCTGGCAGAAAAAATATATACTAAACCATCTGCAGGGTAAAGCAACAAAAGGTAAAATTCTGTGACGCTCACTTTTTTTCCATTTTTTCTGCCAGGGAACTAATTCAAGCAAAGTCTATAGTGATTACAACAGCCCATACTGTGAGGTTTAATTTGGTAACTGAGCGATCATTTCAGAATTAACCTAAAGCTGAGTAATTTACACTTTACTGGAATACCCAGAAAAAAACTGCATTTTTTAAAATTCTGTGACGGCCTCTATTTTTTTGACTGGAACTTTTGATTTGCTTGACCAGTCTAGTTCAAATCTTTTTTAGTAGTACAACTTGTTAATACCTATCATTGATAAGTGTTGCTTCTCTGCCGAGACAAAGGGCGCAGAAGACAAAAAAAGGAAATTCCGTAACATTTGGCCACGCCGTGTATACGAACAAGAATTACTAAACACGTTTTTCTATATATTTTACTTTTCTTTCTTTGCTTCGACAATACGAGACAGTACATTACACAGCGTTATAGCTGGACGGAAAAAAACACTGTATCCTACTTTTTTCGATCAAAAACACACATGTTGGAAAATATAGTAGAACTCACTAATCAGTCATGTTCGTAATACTGGAATTTCAGCAATGGCTTTCTTAATGAGCGCACTTTCGGCAATAATTAATTTACTGTTGTCCAAAATTCCAGTAATTAGAAAGTTAAGATAAGTATTTGCAGAAAGTGCATGGTTAGGATATGGATTTTTCAGGATTCTAGGCCATGGGTCATTCGAATATTACGTTGGCTATGATGTGTGTGAAGCAAGCACCCTGGAAAGCACGCAGTCTGAGAACAACCAGCTTGAAAAGCAACCACGCTGGAAGTCAAATGATTTCTGACTGGAGTGTTTAGTTTTGAAATAATCTAATCTCTCTCTTTCTTTCTTCGCTACCGCCGTTGTTTGTCTCTTTATTATTATTATCAAGCTGAAAAAATCTTAATTGTATGGACTTTTGGCAATGATTAATTTATTGTTGCCGGACGTTCAGTTTTAGTCGAGAGTGATTTTAACTCAACAGTCGAAATTAATTCAATTCTAGTTGTCCGAATTATAATTTAACCTCCCCTCCCCCTCTAACTGCATGGCTATATAGGAACTTTATTCCATTTAAATAGGTTTCCACCACTTTTATTATTTACCTTCTATTTACCTTGGAATCTGAGAAAAAGGATCAGTGAATACGACACAAAAAAAATATGTTCTTATGCAATAAGTCATGCTCGTTCACGAAAGCACAATTACAGCTGCGCATAAGGGTAGAAGATAATGATACATGTTTCAGTTTATTGGCCTTGTCCTCATGTAAATGATCTTGTATTTGTCTTTTTTCAAATATTTATTTTCAAAAATAGAAGAAGTGACCACAAAAGAAGTCGTACAGGTTAAAACACGTGTTCTTTTGATGTTAAAATACAACAAAATACTAGATGTATATTGTTATTATACCATAGCCTACTTGTATTCCTTCACCTTCGACATGGTTTTTTCTCCGTTTGTACATGCAAATGTAAAATGCTTCACACGAGTTGTTTTGGCCTACTCATGAAAAACATTCATTTTTGCGCTTTTCTCACAAAATTTTAGTCCAACAAGAATTCTAAATCTAGAGAATAGAGTAGTAATAAATAAACGTAAGTAAAGAAAATATAGAACCGCAATAAAGATCATCATTAATAACAACTTTATTCTCTAGACGAGCTTTCGATGTGTATCCTATATTATTATCAGACTGACTTTAGAAATATTAAAAACTACAAATATATAAATGAATAATAAAAACAAACAGAGACAAATCTAAAACACATTCTATGATCAATAACATCACTTATAGATCAAGATAACACTGAAAAAGGAAAGAAAAGAAATTAAGACGATGATGTGTGGTGGGTCGATTTTTCTTTCTTCCAACATTATTATTCTCTCCATCATCTTTTATAGGGTCTCTCCTGGATTTAAGATGTATGCGTAGCAAATAATTTTTGCAATCTCACTTTAATTAGACTCATATAAATCGATCGCAGTATTTGTTTGCTGCCTAAGGTATAACCTATAACGATAATATATAACTTAAAAAAGAGAAAGACAGATATGGTAGAGGAAAGAAATAACGATATGTTAAATTCCGTTTGATCTCCTCAATAGTACCTCAGTACACGTTCTTCTCTTTACACTGTGTTCGAACTCTTTTATGAAAACTTCTCTTAAACATCCATATACACACTCAGATACAGTAGTGTAGAATATAAACAACGTCATATACTCTCCCATTATGCATTGTGTAATTATTCCATATAATAAACGTTTTTGGAATTTATGGGTAGTTTTTGCGTGATGATACGCAGTCCATAGTTCTGACGAATTTCATCTGATACTATCAAGGAATCGATGGTAGAGTGATCCTCTGAACTTCCTGATTGAGATCATCTTTTCTTCAGCTTATATGTTATTCCAGAGTCGTTTTTTTTCCTTTAATAATGTGACGCACTTCGGAACGTTTGGTTCCGTCAACATATTACGAAACCTTCCAAAACTCTACGAAACTATCAATGGTTTATCCGATGGTGTACGGAGCCTTTAAAAGTTGTCCAGACCCATATAAAGCTTGGTGCATGATATACCAAACCACAAACAAATCTACGGCGCTCGCAGAAGTTTTCGTGCAAAAATTGTGAGACGCTATGAATTCTGCTGAACTTAAAACAGTTCCATTCGAAATATACCAAACGATTTTCATTCCACTGTACCTAAAATCCTAGGGCCCACAATGCCAAATTTTTAAAGTTCGCCAATAAACAATTTTTTTTACGGTGCACGGGTCGATGTCTGGGTGCGTGTGAGAGTAAGGAGACTCCACAACCACACGCCCTCATCCACATACTCACACATACAAACCGTTGCCACCGGCTAAAAATTAAAACACAAAAAACCACGACTCTGGAATAACATATAAGCTGAAGAAAAAAAAGATGATCTCAATCAGGAAGTTCAGAGGATCACTCTACCATCGATTCCTTGATAGTATCAGATGAAATTCGTCAGAACTATGGACTGCGTATTATCACGCAAAAACTACCCATAAATTCCAAAAACGTTTATTAAATTCAGATATTTTTGCTCAATTAGGGTGCTGCAAGATGGGATATTTATATATCTATGGCCTACTCATTAATACATCAGTCTGATGGCATGTGTGTTATACCGTCCGATGAATGTGAATATGAATTCGATGTTACACGTAATGCAGTTTCATTAGCAGTTAAAAATCCAACAGTGAAACAGAGAATTACATCCGATTTAACTCTGGAAATATGCGAAGAATATTCAAAACAAGCAAAAAAATCAGCAGAGAATCTCAGTTTAACACCGAATTTAGAACTGTTAGCAATGATCAAAGTTGCTTGTATTCATGATGTTCAACTGAGTGAAGATAAAAGAGTAAGCCTATTCCTGGGTTGGGTGACTTCCTTTAAAAAACCTTTCATTAAAGCATTTTTCTTAAATGAAGATACCAGAACTGTCATTAAAAATGTTTTTAATGAAAGTCCTGGTACTTTCGTTAAAAAACTTTTAACAAGAGTCCATTAAAGGGCCGCCCACAGGTAATAACTTTTTTATCTTATAAGTTGACAATTGTTCAACATGCCGGAATATTCATTTTCTGGGGCTATATGTTTCGTGAACGTTTCACATACGTTACTTATTGGAATACGACTGTCTGACGCTTATTTCGCTCAAGCTCTAACAGCATATAAATCAGCACGTCGTCTTGTTCCGAGTCACGGATTGAAACTAGACGAGAGAATGGCTTCCACCTATACGTCGCTTATTGAAAGACATACGCTTGCTGATAATTTGGCTGAAGCAATACACGTATATGAATCAGTACTTCTGCCTCAGTTACAAAACTATATGTGATGAGACAATAGCTGATATCTACACGTCCCCTGTCGAAAATATATTTATCTGATGGGGAGTTGTCTTCAGCTAACGAAGCATATAAATCAGCATGGTCTTCTGCCGAGTCACAAAGTCATGTTTCATGAGAAAATAACGGACATCTACGCGTTGCTTATTGAATGACATATTGTGACGATTCTTTGTCACAACCTCTCTATACAGTACGTACTTCTTTCGGTAGGGCTACTCTCTTTTGTTCCGTTCTGTTTTTGTTCTTTCCTCGCTTTGTCCTTTTGTTGTTCTTATCTTTTGTACATGTAGTAGTACATATATATATTAGTGTTTTTCTTCTGTTAGAGTTAGTTTTTTGCAGTTTGTGATAAAGAGTAGTCGAATAAAAGAGTGATACTACATATCTTAACGCATGCATAAAATCAACTCAAGGACTTATAACTAGAAGAAGTATAGGTTCCTCACACTTGGCGATCTCGTCTTGCCGAACCTTCCGTTCTCCTGCTAAGTATTTTTCTTCTCTCTTGCAAAGTTTTTTTTCATTAAATAGTATTTTTCCGTTTTTTTCTACCTGTTCGATCAGTTGGGTAAGTCACATTGGTTTTATCATGATTCAATTTCCTAATTAATCCTCCACTGAAAGATCCATCTCCTAACGCTTTATGATAAGCATCGTTCTCAGACGATACTCATTCAGGAACTGAATGAAAAATTGACCGAACGAACCAACATATCGATGATGCAATCCACGCCTTTCCCGTGTATATCGTCGGATTTTTACGATTAATTTTTTCGTCTGAGTTTTTCCGGTTTCCTTTTTTTGTCTTTGCCATGTCTTCGATCTTTTTTCTTGTGCGTCCTTCTCCTCCTTTTCTATATCGCGTTTTAACCTTGCACTGCAGCTGCTTTCCTTTTAATTCTCTTTTATTTGTATGTTTTGTTTTTAATCCGCAGTATCCGCGTGAGGGCACTCGGATCTCGGTGGGGAGAGGAATGTGACGATTCGTCGTCACAACCTCTCTATTCAGTACGTACTTTCACCAAACCGTCATGTTTTTTCCCGAAGAACTTGGTATTTCTTCACGAAAATTCTTTTGTTCCGTTCTGTTCCTTGTCTGTTTTTGTTCTTTCCTCGCTTTGTCCTTTTGTTGTTCCTATCTTTTGTACATGCAGTAGTAAATATATATTAGTGTTTTTCTTCTGTTAGAGTTAGTTTTTGTAGTTTGTGATAAAGATAGGTTCCTCACACATATGTCTGATGATAATTTCGCTCACGCTTTACAAGCATTCGAACTGGCACGTCGTTGTCTTCCGTATCGCGAAATGAAACTAGATGAGAAAATAGTTGATATCTACGCGTTACTTATTGAAAGGCGTATATCCGACGATAACTTCTCTCAAGCTCTAAAAGCATATGAATTTGCACGTCGCTTTGTACCCAGTCACGGACTGAAACTGGATGAGAGAATGGCTTTCATCTACGTGTCCATTATTGAAAGACATGTCTAGTGATAAGGCATATATCTAATGAATATTTACATGAAGTAATAAAAGCATTTGATAATAACATAAGACCAAATGCAGCTTGTATCGGGTAAAGAAGAGAAAAACATAAATGGCGCTGGTGTGTCGTTAAGATGTAAGTAAATAAACAAAAGAAACCATTCAGGAAATTAAGCGATATCTTTCGCTTCGCTTTTCAGTTTTAATAGAGGACACAGAAAATAAAAAGATGGATTGTTGATTGTAGCACCATCGACGCACTTTGAAAGAGCCTCTGTGGCGATGTTTAGTATTTCAATTTTTTCTCACTCATGCAAAAATTGATTCTCTAAATCTTCTTTTAAGTTTTCAGATTTTCCTCTTTCCAATGGAAAAAAAATTTACTCTCCAGTCGATCGGGAACATAGAGAAATAGTACTCGTCCAGGCACTATCGCATCACCCGTTATCATGTTTGATCTGTAAGGGAAGCCGTCAAAATAATTGAATGCGTGGAATGTGAACATGGAGTATACCCTAAGCATAGAGACATTTGTTCATTTCTGTCGATGCGTGGATATAAATAAACATCCTCCTTTTTTCTTTTTCTCGCTTAATTGGTAGAAAGAGAAAGATCTGATATAAGATGCACGTAAGGGAGACTCGCAGTAAAAAATAGATTTCGTTTATTTATACACCGTTCGATAGAGAATGCAACGGAGACCACGATTATCGCCACCCCGACTCCCAAAACCGTTTTGTCACCGAGATATCCTCAAAATATTGAGAGGGAGTCAAAAACCCAAAAAAATGCTCGTTTCGAAAAAGCTCCGTAGTTTGGCTCGCTAAGATCACAGAGTTTTGCAACTGGGATATTCGGATTCAGCGTTGAAAGCGGAACCTATCCATGTACTTTTCGAAGCTCTAGCTCTAAAACTGAACTTTGATAACGCAGTTAAAGCATAGGCCAAAAGCGAGACACCCTCTTCTTGCAGATTTTCACAGATTTTGTGGGTGGTTGTTCCCGCGATATTTTGGTATGGCCAGATGCAAAAAAACAGAACCTTTAAGAACCTTTTGGAAATTGTTTTCGTTCCAAGCACATCGTATCGCGAGAGAGTGTCAAACTCTGAGCAAAAGAAGGCGTCTTCGAGCCTTCTAGAATATCTCTAGGCTGAGATAAGGTCATTTTACTTTCAAAGATGCACATCGAGTTTTGAGCAAAATGAGACCTTCCTGGGCTTTCCAGCGTCTTCCTATAGGAAGACGCCTATAGGCTGAGGACGTCTCATTTTGCTCAGAATTTGATGCTCTGTCGATACGATGTGCTTGGGACAAAAACAATTTCCAAAAGGCTCTTGAAGGTTTCTCGAAGTTCTATTTTTGCAACAAGTTATTGTGTCACTTATATAAAGCTGAATTACATATTTTTGTCTAAAGAACGAAATAAAGAAGAACGAACTTTATCACTAAATATTGATCTACTCTTGTACCTAAGGGAAACATCACTCATTATGAGTTTAATGCAAAATCGCTCAACTTAACGAGTTAAATGAAAATGAGTTAGAGAGTATCCATTTCTACTTTTTATCTCATCGGACATCGTGAGCGAGCTATTTCCAAAAATAAGTACCGTTTGGCTTTTGAGATACAAGGCCGCCACTGTCATTGCTTGGCTCCATCGAAAGTGCAATTTTTGTTTTTTATTGAGATCAGTTTTAAATAGACTTTTTCCACTGCCATGACTTTGCAGTTTTCTGTTCGGGTCTTGGTCTGTGAGAAAAAGACGTCTCACATTGATATTACAGGAACGTCTGAAAGTATCTTTAAGAGTTGAGAAGTATAAATCTTTTAACAAACAATTAAATAAATTAATTTGTGATGGATATAATTGGAACCAGAACTTCTTTTATTAATGTGAGAAACAACAAATATGTACACTAATGAGAACAGAGAGTAAAAAAAGGTTTAATTTAGATATCCCTTACATGATGTATGTTTAGTTAATTAAAACTGTATGTTAGTAATAATATATACACATAATGACTAAGATCCACCCGTAGCATTTTCCTTTAGTAAACTGCAATCTGCAATTTCAGTTTGTTTGGTATTTTGCATTCTGAAATGCAAAAAAACTGACTTTGCATTTCAGAATCCAAAAAGCGATGAATTTGTATCTCGAAAAGTCGAATTGACATTTTGAAAATAAAAGCTGCATTTTTTGTCTGTTTTAATGCAAACTGAAAAACCTTAGTATTTGACACTCAAATATTTACAGTTTGTGCAGGTTCATATTTTATGACCTGGTTAGATGTCATTCAGCGTTGAAAACTAAATTAAAAACTAATATTAGATGCATGCATTTCGAAGGTATATCTCGCATGCATCTAATATTAGTTTTTAATTAAGTTTTCAACGCTGAATAAGAAAAAAGATTATTTGAATGTTGCGACGAAAAACTCAAGTCGAAAAATCAGCTTTGATGAACATCATCGTTCTTTTTGAGTTTTGAGGTGCTTTGAGTTTTCTCGATTTCAACATGAAAAAAACGTTTTGAAATATTGAAACCTACATATTCATGATCAGCTCGGAAAATCCTATAGAATGGTGTAACATAAATCCAGAAAAAATGTTTGCTTCATTTTTGCATTAGTCGAACCCTACGTTATCTTTTATTTTAACAAAATGATAAGCTGTTTTTTTCGTCGATAATGCCGATTTCTAAAAACGATAGCACTAAGAATTGGGTAGGTCTTGAAAATCATTGCTTTTAAGACTTACCAAACACTAAAGTCTTGGAAAAATATCATATTTATGCACAATCAACGTAGCTCTATCAAACATACGATTTGGATTGATTTTGTTAGAAACTTTTTTATCATGGTTTTTTTTCTCAAACAGGTACAGTGGCTTATATGCAATTCACTCATATATTTCTGTACCACTTTTTGTATTTAGAATCGGCTAATCTTTCCAGATTTTATCCAACCATGTATATTTTTCCATAGATTGATACTTGTAACAGTATCGATCCCTGGCACAATATTAAACATAGTACCATCGATTTACGAATAAAAATGAGTAAAAATTATTAGAAAAAATAATATATATTTTGTTTAATTCTCAATAAAACATTTTGAAAAATTGTCATCGTTGTCATCAATTTGATGTAGTCATGTTAATAGGTGACTTCTGTATTTTCTTACATCGTGTTTTTCGTGTATTATTTTATAGTGAAATGTAAAGAAATGTGTATTTTCAAAACAAATAGATTGCTTTCCATAAATTTTGAAAGCTTGAATACGTGTTATACATTGTACAGAGTTATACATAAAGTATAATTTATTTTTGTGTTGAAAATATTATTTTATCAGGTAACATTAACCGGAGCTGGTACGCTTACCCATCCATCTATTTCATTTTCATCATCTGATTGTTGTCGTATATCAAGATATTGATAAGGACGTTTTTTGAACGGTAATTTTCTAATATCGTTAAGTTGTTGTGGTTTCCATAATGTTCCAAATCCAGAATTTGGTCCAAATTGAAATGTAAATTGTCCTGATGTTTGTCTAATAATATCTAATTTATAATAAAATCGAATAGCTCGTGCAAATTTATCATATGTCATTTCAAGTCCACCATGACGTCCTTTAACATGTTGCCATAATTTTGCACACGATGATGGTAAATGAAGTTTAAATATACCCTCATTAATATTAATATAAGATGCATAAGATCGATAGTTGGGTTTTTCTAATAATAATCTTAAAAATTCATGAAGATATGGACGTCTATAAATTTTTGTCTTTTCATCTCCAACTAACCACTCAGATGTTGTTGTTTTACACATTTTCATTACCATCTTTAATTCATTATCGTTTGTCGAATATGTTAATGCCATACCTTTTAAAAAAATAAAAGAGATCCAAATATTTTGATACGTATAATTGCCACCCTAGTAGAAGTTAGTCATATATATTTCAATCGACTTTTTTTTCTGATAAAGTTAAATTCGTCGTGCACAATTCAACATGAGAATATTATTTGCAATTGTAGAAATTGACATTGGCTGATCACTTTTGTCGTTCATGACGGTTCAAAATTACACCTGTAACAAGTCTAATGACAACAGATCGAATAGAAAAAAATTCTTATTGCCCATCGTTTTCACTCATCGGGCATGCTGTTGCCTTTTTTTTTTTTGTCACAATAATCGAAAAATGACCAAAATTAGTGAAAAACTTATTATAAATTATTTGTAGGAGACAGTTTTCACTTTGAATTTTATCTCTAGTTTACTTTTGTTTTTCTACAATGTAGCTGATACTAAAGATGAGAATAATATTTATATGGTTAAGATGCTCAAATATTTCTGTCTCCCTCTGTTAACAAAGATTTGTCTGCGAGTAAAAAAAAGTATTGTTTTGAATATATGCACAGTTCAACTATAAGGAAGGATATGTAAACCTTCAAATGATGTTGACAAGAAATATATAAATATAAATACTTTCTATTTTTTTGACTACATGTGCAACTAACAAGACCTGATTTGTATGTCTTTGGTTAACTAGAACAGTAAACAGCGAGATTAGATCTGTTAATGAAATGACAATTCTTTCTATTCTCGTTTATTGGTGAGCAACAGGAATTATAGAGGCTACAATCGTCCTCACTTCAGAAAACGTCTTACGAATAAGCAGTTATTTTATCGAGTGTTTAGTGACATTTGACCTTCAACTAACAAGTTCGTTTCTTATCAACAAAATAAAAATAAGATAAAAAGAACAAAATGAGTGTTCTCATTGCAAAGCAAAATAAAATGTTTACTGTTTATTATCCGTTGTAAAATAGAAAGTGTTCCACTACTTCTTAAATAATTTCAGAACGAAAGATCATAGAGACCTCGAACTTCTAGCATTTTACAGTAAAACCCTGCGACTATTCACCTTACAAAAATGGCTTTGAGATTCTACATCTAGCACACATAACAAAATCATAGAAACTGATTTTGAGCATTCACTTCGAAATCCATGTTTATTGGATTTTCGTACGTTGCTAAAAACAAACATTGGTACAGGATTCAGATTAATCAACAACCTATATTTTCCAGTATTTATGAGATTTTAAGATTTTACATTGTGTGATCTGAGAAAGTATGAGTAAAGGTGAAGACTTTGAACTGAAAAACTTGCGTCTATTTCGATGACAGTTGTTGCTCTATGTAGGCATGTCTTTGAAACAAAAAGTTCAACATGAATTTGTTTAAAAATCACAATTTCTATGATTTTGCTATATGTGAAATCTCAAAGTCAGTTTTTTGTAAGGCAAATAGTTTTAAGATTTTACTATAAAATGCTAAAAAGTCGAGGTCCCTATTACCTTTCGTTTTGAAATTGTTTGAAAAACAGTCGGGCACTTTCTATTTTATAATGGATAATAAATAGTAAACTTTTTATTTTGCTATGCAATGAAAAATAGCCTTGATTAATGCACGAACCTTGTTCTTTTTTTCATTCATGTGTATTATTCGTTTATGATAGTTTTTGCTTCTTGCTTAACAGAAACAAATAAAATAAATCCACATGGTCATAGTTCAGCGCATACACGATGTATGTACAGCATAGGATGCAAGTGGAAGTGAATATAGAACGAAAAACAGTTAATGACAAACATATATTCAAACAATGATCGTTACCGTGCACATTTCAGTTTTTTCTCTTCAACTTTTATACTACAGGTAACAAATTCAACATATTATGTGAGAAGAATATAAAAAAAATGTGTGTATATATATACTGGAAGTAAATATTTGCAGAATTATTCAGTACACCTACTCAGCCTCACACATCTTAATAGCAATGAATAATTTCATAAGTGAGCGTGCATAAAGATTCGAATATGAGACGCATTTTTTTTCCCAGGGAATTGCATACCAAAGTAAAAGATAGTTTTCACCACACTGTAGTTTTGATTATGACATAAAAATATACTAGATGACTCAGATCACAGTATATTTTATGATCCAACAATACAGCAATTCTACGTGTTGACACAATGCGATCAGGTTCGTGGTTTCCATAGATACTCTTGTTCTTTGTTGCTGGCATTCTGCATTGATCGACTTCCGTGCATTTAAACTAGTATGTAAGATGAGATATTCTAACCATATGTTATATTCATTGACAATCTAATTTGTAGTGACTGAAATAATGATTTATACTAATCCTGATCAGAGACCATTAGCGAATAATACTACTATCCACTCTATAATAGACTGTAATAGGCCTACTTGTCGAATAATTCGAAAACAAAAGAGCAGGGGAAGTCGGTTTTCCAGAATTTTTTAGAAAGATCTGATGCTGTATTATCATAAAAAACGTATTTCAAATTTTTTCTCAAGTAGTTGTCTAACAGGGCTCCGTATGGTTCGGTCTGATCCCAATTTTTGAGAGCAGGACCGCTTCGGACCATTTTCGATAAAAAGTTTGGGACCAGAACCAATCCGAACCACTTCGAACCATGAAAATTTTTTCCCCTTTTTTGAAGCTCTATTTCCACTGTGTAATGAAAAATTGTTTAATTTCAATTTGTGTCAAATCTGAAAACAAACCGTTTCTTAATTAAATGTTCAGCAAAGCTCAGCTAGTCGGTAAACAAAAAAATTAACAGATCTCTAAAAAATTTTGCAACCAGGACCAGTTCGGGCCAATAGTTTTGGAACCGGGGCCAGTTCGAACCAAATGGATTTCTGTCCGGTCCGCCTTGGTCTTGGACTGGACCACGCGGCGTCCTGGTGTCTAAACAGTGCTTGAAAAACTAGTTCAAATCTTCAAAACTGAAAGAACATCATTGCGGTTCTTTTCACGAGTAGATAATTCTAACTGTCTTGTGCAAAGCGAGACCTCGATATTTCGGTAGTTTTCGTTTGCCAGAAGTACTGCTAAGTGTATTTTCACTAAACTTTCTAGAAGCTCTTTTGAGATACAAATCTGATCCTATTTGTCAGTATCAGCAATATTTCTCCTACGGTATAAGAACAGATTTGTACCTCTGTCGAGTCGGTTTTCAAAAGTTTTCTCATTAATATCTTTTATCTGATATATGTCGTACGATGCAAAAGAAAACAGTGAATGAATTGCACGCGGGATCCGAGTGACATAAGCAGCAGTCATATTTTCTACCGCCCTAGAATAGAAGACCATGGCCTTCTATGATGGTGGTTTCGCACATAGCACTTTTTTTGGTGAAAAACTGCCCTGTGGAGCGTTTTTAAAAAATTTTCGCTCCAGATTGGCTTTCTATTAAGGGTGACCTTCTGTTCTGAAGAGGGGAAGGGCGGGTATCTGGATGCAAGTTCTCGTTAAATATCAACGCGATTTGTCAGAAACATCGGTCCTACTGGTTTTTAAGCGATGAACAAGATCCCGTTAAAACTGATAAAAAAGGTTTAATATATGCGGTACGTTCCTCACATTCTACTGTAGCCAACGAGGCAATGAATCAAGTTACTTTTTGATGAGAAATGATAGCACTAGTCGAGCCTTACAGCTTCTCCTGTGGTTGAGAAATAAATGGATTCACTGATGACTTTTTTTCGACTTTCTTTTGCATGAACACACGATTCTCCAAACATAATCGAAAACAGATTCCACATGGTAAATAGAATGAATACCTTTGTTTAAGAATATGACAACGCCTAGTTAGCCTTGAGAACACTGGTAATGTTTTATTTCTTCATCATCATCATTCACAAGTTTATTATTGTTTGCACATAATCATACGTAGATAAAAATGTGACCGCACCTGTGCACAAGTGAGTATGCAAAAAACAGAAATTATACGGGAGAGAACGTGAGTATACAAATTGTACCTACAATAATGACAAAAAAACGAAAACAAACGCTCACGCTCTAAAATATTCACTGCGATATTATCTACTAGAGGGTATGACATGAAGGACAAAAAAAAAATTTATCACAAGGATATACTTGGACTAAAACTCCTCCCCATAACAAACGACCATCCCCTATTAGAAGACCGTTGCTGACGATTTTCTTTTGAGAAACCGTCCACGATATTTGGCCTTAAAAGCGACTTGAATTGCTCGCCAAAATAGAAAATCGTGGTGAGGAGGGTACTGTGTATTCATTCAAAAAATACGCCAATTATTGGATTGAGCGAAAAAAGATCGTATCAGTCTACTACTTACGTTTAATTCGACCGGTTTGTGCTAATACCGTTGGTACACATACCGTGACTAACAAAATTATTGACACATCACTGCTCTATGACTTATGTAAATATGTTCAGCATTTAACTTTGTTTCGTTGTTATTTCATTAAAAAAATGGTAAAAGGATCGGGTGTATTAACGTTACAGAATTATTGATCCAGAAACAAAAAGTAAATTGTTTATTTTGGGACTGAAAGAGTCCTAAACAAATTAATATCTCGTTGAATAACCTTTCATTTTCATACATTCATATAATCGATCGTTTTTTCTAACGAATTTTGTTCTATTCCTCTGGTAGTAGATCCTGAGGTTGTTTTTTTTGTGTTTTGACTCGTGTTTCTTTATTCTACCTTTGTCTTCATCCCATAAAAAGTCAATGATCCTGAGGTCTACTAGAGCAGGTAGCCACGCCAAGACTCGAATCCTTTTTCTTTCAAATACAACAGAAGCTCACAAGCCTGATGGTTTCCTATGGCGAGTGAAGTAAAGTCATAGAGTAGCGGTGTGCTGATAATTTTGTTAACTACTGCAACATATGTGAAAAAGACTGAAAGTAGGCTTCCTAGAAATCCAACTGATAAAATACAAATGATTCGAAATTCTTCCAACTATGTCATGAAAAAGTCTTATCTTTTCGCTATATAATCCTTCAAATTAAGATTCCAATTT